CGGCACCCACCAGCCAGCTGGGTTGAGTGCGGGGATTGGCTTCCCCGTCACACTCCCCCCCCCTTTGCTCCTTTTGTCCTCTCCCTCCTCTTCTGGCTCTACGCACCGCGATAGGAAATCTGCGTTAGCGTGCACTCGCCCCTCCTTGTGTATTATGCTAAATGTATATTGCTGTAAGAACAAGTACCACCTCATAATGCGGGGATTCGCCTCCCGCATATTGTGCATCCATTCCAGGGGTGCGTGGTCCGTGACTAGTAGAAACGGGTTCCCCAATAAATAGTACCGCAAGGCTTCTTCCGCCCATCGGACGGCTAGCGCCTCTTTTTCAATAGTAGAGTAGGCTCATTGGCGGGGCAGCAGCTTGCGGCTCATGTACAGAATTGGGCGCTCCCCGTCTGCATATTCTTGGGCCAACACTGCTCCTACGCCTATTCTCGAGGCGTCCGTTTGTACTATGAACGTCTTCGAGAAGTCTGGTTGCGTCAGGTAGAGGTGCTTGAGTGAGATGTTGCTTTAGCCGTTGGAAGGCGTTTTCACATTGTATCGTCCAGCACACCCTCTGGGAGTATCCACTCTTGGTCAACTCCGTTAGTGGTCAACTCCGTTCTATTGTGGAGAAGTGGGGTATGAACCGCCGGTAATAGCCTGCAAGCCCCAGGAACTGGTGCACTTGTTTTTTTGTCCGCGGGGTTTGGTAATCCCGTACGGGTTTGACCTTATCCACTTGCGGTTTCAGTCTGCCCCCTCTTACGACATACCCCAGGTAGGTGACTTCCGTCCTCCCAAAGACGCACTTACTGGGGTTTGCTGTCAGCCAGGCCTCTCTCAGCGCCCCCAAGATAGCCTTTATATGTTGCAGATGCTCCCTCCAGGAGGTACTATAAATGACCACGTCATTGATGTACGCCGCCGCGTACCTTTGATGGTCGTGGAGGAGGCAGTCCATTAGGCGGTCCATGGCTGCGGCTCCATTCAGTCCGAAGGGCATGGTCAGGAAATGGTACAAGCCAAAGGGGGTGGCGAAGGCTGTTTTCTCCTGGGATGCTGGTGTGAGTGGGATTTGCCAGTACCCCTTTGTGAGGTCGATCGTAGAGAGGTACTGGGCTTGTCCCAGCCTTTCCAGGAGTTCCTCTGCCCGCGGCATGGGGTATGCGTCAAATTTGGACACTGCATCGATCTTTCAAAAGTCTATACAGAAGTGGAGGGTACCGTCATGCTTGGGGACCAGCACTATTGGGCTCTGCCATCTGCTCCGCGATTCTTTTATCACCCCCATCTGGAGCATCTTCTGTACCTCCTCCCGCACAGGCTCCCACATTTTCCTTGGTAGTGGCCAGAGGGGTTTCTGTACCCTGATCCCCGGTGTGGTTTGGATGTGGTGGCAAGCTGCCGGGGTCCGGCCGGGCTGTGTCAACATTACCTCCGTAAATTCCTGGAGGAGCACCCGGACCTCTGGGGTGGGTTGTGGCGCGGCGGTCTTCTTGGGGTCACCTACACTCGGCCATAGGAGCAGTCCATTCAACAATTACCAGGAACACTAAATACAAACTCAAGAGTTGACAACCCTGGTTCTGAATCTGCCTCACCTATGGTTACATTCTTCATTACCAGATATAGAGCCTCAACCAGCTATGCAGGTAGAAGGGCCCAGTGCTCCACTTCTTATCTGTTGAAAGAACATGTACAGTGCGCGGGTGTGTTATGAAAGCAAATGACATGAGCGTTATTAAAATAAATGGAAACTAGGGCTGTCAATTAACACGTGTTCCCGCCTGTGATTAACACGGGGCAGAATTAACCCGTTAATCACAGGCACTGCCTTTGAGCCCCCTCCTCCTGCACCCAAACTCCCTTACAGAGCGTGCGCCTGTCACCCCTTCCCCTGCCCGGAGAACGCACCGCCTGTCAGCCCAGGGAGAGCGAGTGCGGGCTGGGAGAGGGCGTGGCCTCGAGGAAGGGCGGGGCTTGCCCTGACCTTTACAGCGCGGTCCTGGGTGCGAGGAGGCCGCAGACCCCAGGCCGAGAGGCAAAGGGAAGCTGCGGCGCAAGGGACGCTGCCGGGGGCTGACGCACGTGCGAGCAGGCCCGTGACGTGGGGCGGGAGAGCTCAGCCCGGGTCTTCCCGCCCTGCGCGCGCCTGCGGAACCGTTGAAACGGCCAGGTCACGAGACCCATTTCAAATTGCAGCCTGCGTGCGGCTCCTCCGAGCGGCTGCGCGCGACGCGGG